TGTGTAACAAAACTTTACACCAATGATTTATAAATTACGTTATGATTATTTGAATTTAAGTATTTTCCATTTTACATATACACTTCCATAAATTAAAAGGAATGAAGTTATTATAGTTAATATATGCAAATCGTTATCAAATCGTATATTTTCCTTTTCTTCCATTACATGCGTGCGATATATATAAATATATATACTACGTTACATGCGTTATATGCATCTCTAATTATTTTTCCCTAGCAAATTTCAATTGAATCTAAAGCCGCCACGTCAGTTTAATTGATATGCTAATTGATTGACAACTAAGCAAGGTTACTTTTTAATTAATACAAATTTGAGGTTACATCTTTTCAAATGTTTCTCAATTAATATATAGGGGATTGTTTCATTAGGTTAATATTTTTCAAAATGACAAGTAATGTCATTGAAGTTTAATTATAAATTCGAAGAATTATAAAATATTTACAATATATTTACATATTAAAATAAAAATAACTGAAACCAAAATAAACTTTAAAAAAATCTCCAAATCACTTTTCCTAAACCATCATTTCTCTCCTAAACCATCATTTATCTCTCTCGACACAGTATCTCTTTCACGTGGGACGATAACAAGAGCGATTGATCTCGAATCTTTTCTGGTGCGATTCTTTTTTTTTCTGATTTTATTTCGTCGTAAAACTCTTCATATCCAGTCTAATATCTTCTTTTCCTCTCTAAATTGAATGTAGTGTAGATTCTTCTCCTTGAACCAATATCTCTATATCTTCCCAAATCCTTCTTTGGTTGAAGCAACAATACAAGATTCACCACTACATGTTCATCACCACAAGAAGAGGAGTGAAGATTTTTCCTTATCCTTAGAATATATATTCAGTAGAATACGATGAAAATGTTTGAAATGAATTTCTACAAAATTTTAAATTTATAGTAATGTGTAGCTTCTACCAATTAATGATTTATAGTAATGTGTAGATTCTGATTCTCTAAATTTTAGAGGGATGCGTTAAAACATAGAATATGTATTCTAAATAATTTTGGATTAACAAACATGTATTCTGAACATATTAGATTTTATGAAAAAATAATTTCATATTGTTTCTTTGTAGAATACCATTTTTAGTATCTATAAAACAAAATATGAAACTATAATTTAAATATTTTAAAAACTTGAAAAAATATCAATAAACTAATATAGGTATTTCATCAATAGTTACTATTTTAATTTTTTATTTATAAATTATTTATTTGATTTATTTTCGAAAATATTTAAGATATTAGATGCAAAAAATCTTTGTTTTTTTTTGTCTAAAAGAACAAATTTCTCTCTTTTGGGCTTTAGTCAAAAACAACTCCTCTCTCTCTTATCCTCAGACCATAACACCGCAAAGCAACATTTCAGCGACTGTACGTTATTTTGTTTCTAGATTGAGCTTTTTGGTTTACGGCTTCAAATTGTCTTGGGTCCATGTACTTCACGTGCCCTACCACACCAGCTTACCTTTAAGTTTTGTTTTGCAGTATCTTCCTGGATCATCTCACAGAATATTTTCTTAGATATTTCGAAACCAATGCATCACTGTTTTTGATATTTTTCGCTTCTAAAAGCTTTAATGGCAGCTGCTTATAGGACCACTCACGTGTCGTCCGCATGTCTCTTATTGCTACCGACCTCTCTCTCTATATATATAATAATGTGGCCCCATTAAAAGGTGATAATAGAAGAAGTAAAAAAAACTATACTTCACGTGCAGAAAGATATTTTTTGGTACTGCAACTCCATTCTTTAATGTTTCAGCCTGATGTGATCCGCAACAGTAAGCCACTTAAAAATTGAAACCAGAGTCTATTCAAGAAGCAATAACATCAAAACGTATTTCTTTTAATTCCAGAACCGAAATAGTTAATGTCAGACAATCAGAATCATCAGAGCTGAGGAAAGCGAAAAAAACATAAAAACATGTAACAAAGTAATGAAAAGAAACAAAAAACATAGAAGCAAGTCTCGTGGAGTTACATAAATCTCTTTCTCTATAGGTCCAGGTTCCACTTTTTATGATCCTCAGCAGGCGTAGTCGATGAACCTCCAAAAAGACTAATCTTTGGCCTTCTCTGATCTTTCCCCATTGGTAACTTCCAAAACGAATCTGAGTTCTCGAAGAATACGTATGCAAGTACCACTGATGCCATGAACAAGCAAAACAACAGTGCATATATCTGCCACTCTGCAAAATCCAACAGGTACAGAGATATGAGGTCAGAGAGAGAGGATGTATAAAGAAGGTAGAGAGAGAGTGATGAGCAACAAGCAAACCTTTCCACTCCTTTGGTACAGTGAGTTTGGTCACCATCTCACCCCATTCACTCGATGTTGTCAGCATTACCCTAACCCCCAAGTAGATAGTTAAAAGTTAGAAACAATGCTTGTCTAAATCCAAATAATGAGACTTCAAAGGGTCTTGATATATCACTAAGCATACCTTTCACTAGGGCAGAACTCAAGTGAAGCAATGGTTTGACCAAGATGCAGCCTCTTACTGTAGTGGTAGATCTCCATTGTCTTCACTTCAGCAACAGATATATCTCCATCTTTGCCACCCCTTCAAATAAATTGCAAAAAAAAGTTTTAGCCTTTGTAAAATCAAAAGCCTGGAATAGTGAAACGCAATAACAAGTCCAGGGATGAAGAAACACTCACAAAGCAATATATTTGCCATCCAAGCTCACTGCCATCGTAGATGCACTTTTCCTTGACAGCTTCTTGAACCCAAGCTTCTTCCATGTACTAATGTCGTAAACATTGACCACAGGAATCTCACCTGAACATGTTTACAAAAACTTTCATTATCTTGTTCTGACTTTTAGAACGCTAGTAATGCCTTTGATAGTTTACATAAGAGTCGCTATGTTACATACCTCTCAGAGCAGCACAGAACAGAAAAGGTTTTGTTCCATCTTTAGAGAACCGGCAGAGTTCAATATTTTCATCACCACTACGTTCCAAAGTTGACAAAGGAAAACCATCTTCTGCTTTCCATATCCTAGCTGATCCATCAGTTGATGTTGTAGCTAAGAACTCTGAGTCAAGACTACAACAAAAGACAAGCACACATGAGAGAGAGAGAGAGGGAGATGCACAAAACCGGTCTCGTTCCACAATCTCCATTTTCAATTACTAGTTCAAACTTCAACTATGCTTTGAATTGAAAGAATATAAAAGGAGAGATGATTAAGAGAGAAGATTCCGGTGTCATTACCTGAAATCCATATCTCGGATTGATTTGTGTGCCTTTGGCTCATCCAAAATCACATTTAGGTTTGGCCACTCCATGATTCTGAGACACCCATCCTGAAAAACAGCTTCTATTAAGCTACTGAAAATGTGGCAAAAGCGAAAAAATATAGATTTTATAAAGTATGCATGGTCCCTCCTTACCACTCCCCCAGTAGCTAATTTAGACCCGTCAAAGCTGAAGGCCATACATTTTTGTAGTCCAGCACTTTGAAGAGGAGGGAGCTCTTTGGCTAAGATGGTAGTACATGTTGCTCCTACCACAATCTCAAACAACCTGAAAACCATATAAATTTTTTAAAAAAATTGTAAGACAGTGATGCATACAGTGTTGGTGGAAGTCAATTTCAAAGCTCTAGTGTGGATGAAATAAGATGGAACCGTAGAGTTGAAAAAGTTGGATGCAAGAAAAGCGAGAATAGACTTCTTACAAAAATAGAAAAGATCAATACTTATTAAAGGTGCGAAGATGTACAACAGTCTTCAACAAAAAGCATATGCAGATATATAACAAACCAAATTAAACCTGACAATTCAATAAATTTAAGGCATCACTACAAGACATAGGGGAGTGGAAGACAGTTTTACAAGTCTCGGGTAATTATAGAAGCAATACAATGTTCAACAGTTTAGCAATTTGTTCAGTTCCCAAGAGAAAGATAGATAAGCTATCCTAGGTTTGACAATACCAGCTCGGCTAAAGTAGAAACATTGTAATCACAGAGAGGCACTAGAATATATCAAATAGTTAGTGGAACTGAATGGCCCAAGAGAGAAAGAAAGAAACGTACTTGCAACCACCTTTGGAGGTAGAGCAAACAAAATAATCACCACCAGGATGCACTGAGATTGCTACAGGATCACCATCACTCTCCTTAAGCTCATGTGTTGCCTTTGATCAAATAAAGAAAAAGAAAAAACTAGTTTTAGATCTCATTAGTCAACCCAAGTTAATCCCAAAAAGAGAAAAAGGTTCATCCTTTCATACACGTCAGTGTGTAAGAGAGACAAAAAAAACCCTACCTTTCTTCCATGATTCAGAAGACCCTAAAGAAACAACCCTAGATTCTCACCCCAAAACCTAATAACATTACTAAGCTCTGGATACGTTCATGAGCTATGACATGTTTAAAAAGACTTAATATTTAAGAAAATTACCAAGGGAGAGGAGGAGAGAGAGGTAGTGATGGGATCAAAAGAGAAGATGTTGAGGAGAGCAGGAGAGGAAGAGCCACGGCGTTTGGCAGCTCTGGCGATGATGGCCCAGTTGACTTTCTTAGGGCGACGAATCCATGATCCGCACACCACATGCCCACTCTCACCACGACTCGCTTCTTCAATCTCCATTCAAATTCAATTCGATTCGATTGATTGTTTCCTCTTGTTTCTACACAAAAACTAATTGGTATCTTTCTATCTCTTCCACGACAATTGGGATCCTTATTATATAGTTTACAGATTTGATTTTTTTTTTTCCTTTTTCACGAGCAAAAGCAAAAACAAAAACAAAACAAGAGTTGACTTTGCAAATTGGACAGACAGATTTTGTTGTATATTCTATTCTAATGTGAATGAAGAAGTCTGAAAAGAAGAAGGGGACGGAGATTTGCGCTGTAGCTTTTGAATAAAAATCGTGCAATTAGATTTGAGATAATTACATAAGTCAGATCAGATGATGATGTTTTGTATGAAAAAAAGGATATACCCTTTTGATCCTTTTTCCCGATGCCAAAATTAACTTTAATTAATTACATAACTCAGGTGTCACAATCGTGCTTCCGTGATCTTTTGTAACCAGTTGCTATGAATGTTCAACGTTAACTATAACTATGCAATTTGGGCTTGGGAGTATCGAATTTATATGTTGAGTTGGCAGGAAGGCCCATCTGACGTTTTTAGGCGGGTCTAATTTTATAACTACAATTATATTCATGTTAACCTTTTCTTTTTTTTGAAACACTATATTCATGTTAACCACATTGTAGATTTTTTGGTTTATTTTTTTGAGAAAACGGTCGTTAAAACATCAGTTTAATTAAAACAACAAAAATTTCTAACTCATATTTTAACCAACACAATCTTTAATTTTCAAATATGAGCCTGACTCTGCCATTTAAAACCCCAAATAATCAACTATTAAATTCGATTAGAAAACATATACTTTTCAATTATTAAAAATTGATTAAAAAATTAATCAAGTAATGTCATTTTACTTAAGGGTCAACGATCTATTTCCCCACGAGAACTATCATATATCATCAGATATCCACCAAACTATGACCTCGTATTAGATCTCCATGCATCGAAAGTTACAGTTTTATTTCTCCATGAATCGATGGTTCGAATCTTAATTGTCCATATACTATGATTTTTATTGGTTTATTGTTAACCATATAATTTAAACCAAAAAATGTCAATGATCTATTTTTTATCAAAAAGGAAAAATGCTAATACACTATTCAAACTCCAAACTATCACTATTATCAAAGAAATTTTGAAGATTTGTATACTTTGAGAGATTTTAAAAATTTATTTTTTGATAAAAATGAATTTTTGTTTGGTTTTAAATTTGTTTGGTTAACAATAAATCGATTAAACCATTTTATGTGTAATTAACTTCTAAACTATTAGTTTGAGGAGAAATAGATTTCGAACTATCGATTTGGAGTGAAATAAGTTTATAACTTATAATTCGAGGAGATATGGCACGAAGTGATAGTTCAATGGATATATGATGATATATGATAGTTTTGTGGGGAAATAGCACGTTTACCCTTTACTTAACACCCATCTTACATTTTAGGGGGGTCTAATTTATAACTACAATTATATTCATGTTAACCACAATGTAGATTTTTGTTGTTTATTTTTGAAGAAAACGGTCGTTAAAACATCAGTTTAATAAAACAAAAAAAAAATTTCAACTTGTATTTAAATCAAAATCTTTAATTTTCAAATATTTGCCTGGCTCGGCTATTTAAAACCCAAATAATCAACTATTAAATTCGATTAAAAACATATACTTTTGAATTGTTATAAAATTAATTAAACATAAATCAAATAATGTCATTTTATTTTTGTAAATACTGAAAACATCTTTTTCCTAAAACTAGAACCCTAAATCGACTTCATCTGCTTCATTTTGGAGTGAAGAAAATAAAATCGATTTGAGATTTTTGTTTCGTGAAAGAGATATTTAAAGAAGCAAAATAATGTCGTTTGGCTAATTCTTTTAAAACGACAATGTATAGAGAGTTAACAGACATTTATTTTTATAACGGAGTTTAACAGCTGACTATATAAATTTCTTAAATGGACAAGTCAACAAATACAAGAGTTAAAACATCCAATATTTAAAAATTGAGGATTTTTTTTATCTAAACATAAATTTTGGGCTTTGATTTGAAAGTTTGAGATTTGAAAGTTTGAGATTTAAATGGTTGTTTTCTCTTTATTTTTATCTTCACGTTGATAATACCAACGGCAAATCAATGAAGATTGAATGTGATTCCAACTGTGGAAAAGGAGAACCTACAACTGTTTTATACTGAAAACTAAGGTTGAGTTTCCAAATTTTTGGTTCGCTACTCAAACCAAACATTTTATATGGTTGAATGTGATTTTCTGGTTCAGCAACGGATATTGATTTTTGTATCCGCTCCGTATTATTAACACTTATCATGATGAGGATTATTCATGACACCGTCACATAAAAATCTATCTATAATAATAAAGTTGCCTTTTCTCTCTTCTTAGGGGGTTTTAATACACGTGTCCTCTCCAGTTTTTTTATTTCACGAAAGTTTTCCACCTAATGGGCCAGTTGTTGGGTCTTATATTTTGAATGTTTCGTGTATTTTAGGCTCATGTGTATTTTAGGTTATTTCATTATTTGAGTTCTGATAGAGATCATTGACGTTTTTACCATACAGCTAACGCCGAGTCCAATCGACACTATAACGTCTGTTGATTACATCACTTATGCCACACCTCCCACTCTTTGGCTTATCATCTTCCAAGGTAACCGCCGGGAGCTCCATCTATAAATTTGTTTGCTCCCAATGATGAAGGGCATTACATCTGCGGAAACTAAAAGCACGAACCTTGCAAAGCATCGACTCAACAATGGCGCAGTCCTCAATCCTGCTCATTGATTTGAAAGCTGGCCACCGTTTTACCACCGCCAAGGTCTATCTTCTGAGGTTCTGGGGTTGCGAGATTTAACAGCAACATATTCCTCAGACCACTGCAACAAGAGAAAATCATAAGCTGCATCTGTGTGTATTTGTTTCTTTCATCATTATTTCAAGTGATCATAGATTCAGCAGTAGCAAAGGGTGTTTCTTTCTTTTCTTTTTATTTGGTATGAAATTTCGAGTCTAAAAACTGAAATTTAGTCTGCTAGCATGTTTGTGATAGATTCAGTAGTTTTGACTCTTGAGGATGTTTTTTCTTAAACAGGAAACTGCAGCAGAAGATTATTCCAAACATAAGCTGATCTCACAAAACGATTCTTCAGGTTTTGATTATTTCGTCCCTTTTAGATTGTTTGGTCGTTGATTTACTTTTCCGGATGAGACTTGGAAGGAAGTCAATGAGAATCCAAACGCTACACTGAAATTTACTCCTGATGATTTGTTTGCTAACGTCACCGTGAGTTTGTTACATCCATCATCTTATCTTTCTCTTATAGATACAATGTTTCTGTGTGTGTGTGTGGTCTGTATGCTCAGGTTGCAGAGTTTTTAGGGCCCATCAGTGTTAAAACAATACAACAAAACAAGTTAGCGAGCATCAATATTGGAGGACTAACCACAATTTCAAGTCCACCATCGCCATCTGCTTCACCTAGATGTCTAACTTTGTTTGAAATTATTGTTAGTGTTCATCTCACACAAACAGGGATGTTCATGTCCCACAGTCACCAACTCAACAAACAGGGAACTGTACAATGAGTAAGTATCTTCTAAACCGATTCTGTCAGATGACTTACATATAAGATGGATGCTTATACATTCAAAACATCAACCACTGCAGTTTACAAGGCCTTGACGGCACCCTCAAGTGGTTCCAAGTACGGAGGTATTCAGACAATGGACAGTGTGACTGGCGGAGCCTAATGCAACGGTACAACACAAGTTATTGGTCCATTAATACGCCAAGCTCTTTCATCTCCACTACTGCACTGTAACAAACATTTTTTAAAGAGACAATAATGGCTCATATTTTTTTGGCTTAAAGCAAAAAAAAAAATAGTGGCCTTAATTATTTTGATTAAACAATTTAAAATTTCATGTTATCATAGTTCTACTAAAATTATACTATTATTGTTATATTTTCCTTATAAACCCACAAATGAATTCGTAAAACATGATTTTGGTCCATTTTAAAAAAATATATATGTTTAAAACTTTTTATTATGTTTTTTTTGTTGTTAAGCAAATAAGATAGTACAAGGTCACGATCACTATTCAGTTCAAAAAAAAAAAAGGTCACGATCACTATTATGTAATAAAAGTTAGAATAAAGATACATGGCTGATCTAAAGTTTTTTTTAAAGACACTCAAGGATTCCATAATACAACTTCACTAGAATAATATTGGAACAATAGATAATTAAATGTGGCCTAAGCCCAATGCTTTAGCTGCCTTAGGAACCGGCCGAGCATGTATGGAATCCTCACTGGTATTAGCCAAATTGGTTCAAGAAAACCATGTCTATAAAAAACTAACATTAACCTCTTGGAGGGCTATATATTTGCATCACTGACAAACTACGACTTAATTACCAAACATCTTTCCGCTGGAAACGCTAAGGCTCATTATGTCAAAGATAAATAAGAAAATTTCTATTTAAACAACACTGATTCATAGTCTATTACCTCCAAATAGGTGCACAAGCCAGAAGGTTCGTATATCAACGTAGTTTACCTATACAACATTAACAAGTTATGTATAAGTTAAATGGCTCTCGAGAAAACATACTGGAACAAATTAGGATGGATACAAATGAAAACTAAATGACATCAATAAAACCGATGCACCTCAGCACATGTAAAAACTCCAGTGTTACTAAACAACACTCACAACAACAAATGCCACAGTAACGTATCTCCCCCAACAACAAGCAAAAAAAGTGCGACCACTCTTTACTATTAAAAGAAGATAAAATAAATTTTATTTTTCTTACAAAACCCACTAAAATTTTTATATTTTATCCTCCAAGTATTAGCCATTCAATTTGTGTATTCAAACAATATAAAACATTATGCCGCTGTTTTGAAATAATTTTACACACCTCACGTATGTCAACAAAATAGCAATCCCTCACATACAGAATAGAAATCCAAGTGATAAATACAAAGCTAATCCTCAACGTTGTTAAGACTTACATAATAACTCTGACAAATAGCTACGCCAGCAGACAATTTCTATTCCAAGACGGCCTATAACATTTTTCCACAGGGATCATTTAGAGAGTTACTTATAATTTAGTGGGGTGAAAAACATATTCAATCAATATACAATTTTTATAAAACATTAGGGGTGTCATAATCAGTAGCATACCCACGTAGAGGAATATGGTACCATCTAGCCCCCTTAAATCTGTATAAATATTGTTTTGTTCGC